CACGTCCAGCTCCAGGCTGTGCTCTGCAAAAGGGACAGGAGGCCCATTAGGGGGGGGGGGGCTCTGGACGGGTAAGACCCCATAAGGTCCACCCCAGAGGCTGGAGACAACCTGAGGCCACCTCCTACATCTGAGTGGGGACTAGAAAGACCAAGAGAGACCTAAAGAGGAACGCCGAAACCCATAGAGACCTAAAGAGACTTAAAGAAGACTAAAGAGACATAAAGAGGACCAGAGAGACCCAGAGAGACTTAAAGAGGACTAAAGAGACATAAAGAGGACCAGAGAGACCCAGAGATACCTAAAGAGGACCCTTAGAGACGTAAAGAGGACCAGAGAGAACTAAAGAGACCCAGAAAGACCTAAAGAGGACCAGAGAGACCTAAAGAGGACCAGAGACCAGCATTTTCTGGTCTGTCGTTGCAGATCAACATTGCACATTTCAATTGTTAATTTGCACACTCAAATCTATATTTTTAAAGATTGTTCATTTGTACATTCAGATCTATATTTTTAAAGATTGTATTTTTCAGTTTGATCATTCTGTCTTATATTTTTATTTCTACATTTTATTCTTGCTTCTCATAGAAGTGTTTTGTTGTGCACTAAACACCAAGGCAAATTCCTTGTAAGTCTGAAAACCTACTTGGCAATAAACCTGATTCTGATTCTGATTCTGAGAGACCTAAAGAGACCCATAGAGACCTAAAGAGGACCAGAGAAACCTAGAGAGACCTAAAGAGGACCAGAGAGACCTAAAGAGGATCAGAGAGAACTAAAGAAGGTCGATAGAGAATGGACTATGCAAGTCACGATCCAGCTTTTTTCACTTCCGATCGGATCCCTGCCTATCAGAGCATGTGTTAAAGTTTAAAGTTATACATCTACTTACTTAGTTGTTAGACCCATGTTTAACATGGATTTACTCTGATAACAACTTAATGGTTAGCACACAGACCTGTGGGTTACAGATGCTAATGCTAATGCTCTGTGCTGGAAAATGACCAGACCGGCTATTAGGGAACAACATAAAGTGGAAAAGATTATTTGAATCGGTTTGCCGGAAAACACGGATTGGAGTTTTAAAAAAAAGCTGGACTGGGGATTTCTCATGCCACCGATACGCATTTTTTTTGCAAATATCGGCGTCCGATTCAATCCAGATATCGGATTGGGACAAGCCTAGAACGGACAGAATGCAAAACGTTTATTACCTTCAAGCCCGTCGTCTTCAGGAACTGCCTCAGTTTCCTGAAACGAGGAAAACCAGCTTTAGACTTAGACTTAGACAGTACTTTATTGATCCCTTGGGAAGACTCCCTCAGGAAATTAAGATTACCAGCAGCTTAAAGGGCAAAAAGTATCAAGTTAGAATTAAATTAAGCAAAAAAATACAAATAAATAAATAAAAATACAAAAAATACAGATTAAGTACAGTGTATGTGATATCTCTTCCCCCTGTCCTGTGTCACCTCCTCGCCCCCAGTGAGGCGTTTACAGTCTGATGGCGTGGGGGACAAAAGAGTTCTTAAGTCTATTGGTCCGGCACTTGGGAAGCAGCAGTCTGTCACTGAACAGGCTCCTCTGGCTGCTGATGATAGGAGGCGGGTCTGGGTGTGTGTGTGTGTATATGTGTGTGTATATGTGTGTGTGTGTGTGTGTGTGTGGGCTCACCTGCGCGGGGGCGTACTGTGAGTAGTCGTACTGGGAGTAGTTGTAGCCGTACATGGCGGCGGTCTGGTCGTAGCCCCAGGAGGGGTAGTACCCGGGGTACTGCTGCTGGTACTGGCTGTACTGGTCGTAGGCCTGCCGGTACCCCGCCTGGGTGGGGGGCCACGTCTGTTTGGGCTCCGACTGCTGGGGCTTGTTCCTCAAGCTGAGACGGAAGAAGAAGAAGAAGAAGAAGAAGAGGAAGAGACACTTAGCCCTACTGCTTCCATCAGAGTGACCCAGCTATGTTTATGTTTATGTTTCTGCATTTGGCAGACGCTTTTATCCAAAACGACTCACAGAGTAGACACAATATTACATTTATCATCACTGTGACAATAAGCTATCCAGAGGAGTAGGGTTGTCACAATACTAAAATTTTCAATTCGATACCGAT